TACCTCACCTATACGCTAGCAAACTTTTTTTTACAGTATCTAAACTTATAGAAATGCTCCTTCTCTGCAAATTGTTTGTTTTTTCCGTACAAACGTGCCAAGTTCAAGAGGGATGGCCAATAGTGGAGGGTTTCTGTGGGGAATAATTACAGTAATTACATTGAAAATTTTATAGCTTTTAAAGGAACTTTTCACAGTGAAGACAGCTATGGCGAGTGTTCCTATACCACCATTTTGGAGGAACAAAATAAATTTTGGTGGTTATGTTTTTATTTTTTATATAGTGTACAATAACTTAACTGGTTGTATTATGAACTTGTGTCTATAATCTTTCAGTGCTTCCATTTCAATGTCCTTTTATTTTTTCTTTCTCAATAACAGATATAGATTACAAGAGAGGACAAGGAATTATGATTTTGAACAACTAAATAAATAGAACACAACATCGGTATCCTACTTCTGAATTTTAGGCATTTCAGGCTGTCTTATTTGTTTATCTGAATAAAGTAATTCAGTTATTGAAATTCACAGAACCTTTAAAAAAAAGAATGCATGCCGAAACCTTAAAAACAAAAAAGAAAATAAACTAAAGTTATTCAAACACATGGCGAAATCTGCTACAGAGTTATCTTTTTGGATTCAAAAATAGAATGCTACCAAATTCAAATCTAACAACCAAAATGATAGTGATAAGGTTACAACTATAAACAAAAATTACCTGTAGACTATAACTTTTACTGTATCAACAGAAACGGCAGATTGACCTCGAAATTGGACAAATTTTGAAATGGTGAATCTATAAAACAATAAAAAAATACCTAAGAGAGATTTAGATTCGAATTGAAAATACCTAAGAGATTTATGAGATCGGTGAAGTGAGTGTTCCGTATTTAAAATCAACCATGAATAAAAAAGACGAATGAATAGAGATTTAGATTCGGATTGAAAATACCTAAGAGAGGTCCTATGAACTCATCTTCTAATAGTTTCGACGATTAACAAAGGGAGGAACTCCGCAGCTCCGTCACGCAACCTTGTTTTGAATTTTTGCTTCTTTCACTCTGCAGCTCCGTCACTCAATGCCCATCCTTTCCCGCAGCTCCGTCACGCAATGCCCATCCTTTCTTAAAAGTTTTTTCTTAAAACTCTCGTATCCTTTTGCTTCTTTCGCATTTTCGTTAAACAAAAATATTAATAATTAAAATATATTAATAAAGATATTTTTCAATCCATAATAAAATAAAATAATATATCAATAAAAATATTATCAAATGCCAAAATATTAATAATATATATTTTCTCAAATATTAGTAAAACAATGACAAATTTAATATATTATGGTATATTAATAACTTAGTTATAAAATAATAACAAAATATTAGAAAAATAGTTAGTCAAATTTAATAAAGTATTTTTGTTTTTAAAAGTATTAATAATAATATAATAGTGACACAAAATAAAAAGAAGGTAAAATTATAATTATATAGTGACATATAAGAAAAAATATAGGTAAATATAATTTTAAATGACACTAAAAGTTGTGTTTAAGGTTTAGTCACTACTACGGGATACATATTCTACATCGGTTCTGGGAACTCGTCTACATCAGTTCTAAAACCGATGTAGAATAGAGCGACTTAGAAAATCTATACTCTTTTACATCAGTTTTAAAATCGATGTAGATTATGCATAAATGTACATCGGTTCTCAGGAGATAGAAGAAGCTTCTCTTTGAGTTGGTTTCCTTTTTAATACTCTGTGTGCAATTTGCGGTGACAAATCTTTCTTGGTGGTCAAATTATTTTGTGAATAGAAATCTTCTTGATAGGAATTTACTGAGAATTTGGATTGATTATCACCAATTCGCAGAATTAGATCTTGACTGCTTTAGTGTACTAGTCATTTTTGTATTATGTTTGCCTAATATGCTAATTTGATACATTTTTTAGAATTTGGTCATTGAGTTGCACAATAATGATTATGTATGCTTGTGCTTTACAGGAGAGGGAAAAATCTGGATTTGCTTCCAGTGGCTTTTCTGGTGTTCCATTTTTTTAGGTTCTTCTCTTGGCTTTTGAAGTATGGATGTTTTAAATTTTTTGTTACAAACTATATGACAATAGGTGATTTCAAGGAATGTTTAGCCACAATTTAATACTAATTAAATTTTATGGGAAGGAAGGGTGACCTGGTGTTTGAGGCTTCTACCTTGTGGGATCTGGGGAGGTAGATATATGAAAATCTTATCCCCATATGCGTTGAGTCTATTTATTGGCTGATCATCTGTTTATAATGAGAAGCAGAAAGTATGCCAAATTGGGTGAACAATCATGGACATGCTTATAAACATATATATGCATAAATAAAAATAAACAAGTTTAGAACTAAAGAAAAATGAAGCAATGTTATGTATAAGAAGCATATGACTATAATAATAAAAGCCCTTAATTTTCAAAACTGTTTAGGTGACAGTCCTCACTTGTGAAGCATCATTAAACAAATGACACTGACTCACTGAGTGATTAAGTGTGTTCTCCTAGTATCATGTGTAGAATAATAATTTAATAAAATCATTTGACTCTTGGAGATTATTTGGTTCTCTCTAATGAGCTCAATTTTCAATGATAAAATAGGCCACAATGGTAGAACTATAGAAGAAAGATTCGGTGATTTACCACAACACTCTATTGTTAGGTCCTATAACCCAATCCAATGGACTGGTTAATAACAGAATCATGCTGAGATTTAATAAAGCTAAGAATTGTGAATCTGGGATTTCTGTTGATTTGAGTTGATGATATTCATTGGCATTATATTGCTGCGCATACAAATTTTTATAACTAAGTAAAAAGGAATCTCAACGTGGCATGGTTTAGGTGATGACAAGGAATGGATAAATAAACAAAAAGTGGTTAAACTATTTTACTATTATTATAATGTTTTGGTTTACTTGGTGTTAGCATAGTTTATTTTATTATTTTCTTTTTATATGAGTAAAACAATTAAACAAGTCATTCCAGCAATAGAAAAAGTGAAATTTTATGATTTGTGTTGAAATTCTTTTCCATTTTTATCATATCAGTAGTGGTGATTGACAACAATTACTTTCCATGGTATAGGTGATCTTACTCTTGTAATATACATAGAATTGATTTTTGTTTGGCTACAATTATTTTCTCCACTATGTTTAGATTCGGTTTTTATTGTTTGTGACTTACCTTTCATTTTTATAACAATAATTTTTTTCATACTATTTTTAATTTTATTATATTTGATGGATAAGAGTTGGATTTTTGATCAATCTCAAGTTAATGAGAAATATATTAGGGGGTTTTAAATTTTCTTGATTTTGCATTTGAAAATTCATCTAAGGATGGAAAAATTTTATGTTCTTGTACCAAATGTCTTAATCATGATTGACACTCTTGAATCGATGTTTATGAGCACATAGTCAATCGTGGTTTTCTAAAAGGATATACTAATTGGATTTTTCATGGTGAAAATATTGGCCCTTCTATTTCAGAGAGTACATATCAAGATGGGAGGTTTGATCATGACATTGATACATTAATTCATGATGCTTTTGCAATGCATGCAACTAATGAGGGCCAAAATATAGATACAGACACGGAGGATGAGAATGTTGAACCATTAGTAAATGAGAATAATGTTCAACAATTTGAAGTTTCTTCATATAAGTTTTATAAGTTGTTGAAAGAAGTTGAGCAAGACCTTTATCCTGGTTGTAAGAAATTCACAAAGCTCTCTTTCCTTGTACATCTCTATCATTTGAAATGTCTGAATGGGTGGAGCGATAAAAGTTTTTCAATGTTGTTAGAGTTGTTAAATGATGCTTTACTAGAAGAAAATACTTTGCCTAAGTCATTTTATGATACAAAGAAAATAATTTTAGGATTGGGTTTAGGCTATGAAAAAATTCATGCATGTCCTAATGATTGTATATTGTACAAGAATGATTTATCCAATGATGAAAAATGCCCAAAGTGTAATTTTTCAAGATGGAAAAATAACTCTAATGATGATGAAGCCAGAAAAAAAAAATACCTGCAAAGATTCTTCGTTGGTTTCCTCTCAAACCTAGACTACAAAGACTTTTTATGTCATCCAAAATAGCTTCTTTTATGACATGGCATGAGTATGGTCGAACTAAGGATGGACTTATGAGACATCCTGATGACTCTTTGGCATGGATGGATTTTGATAATCGGTATCCTAAGTTTTCTTCTGACCCTTGAAATGTTCGATTAGGTTTGGCTTCAGATGGCTTTAATCCTTTCAAAACTATGGAAATTCCTCATAGCACTTGGCCTGTCATATTGATTCCGTATAATTTGCATCCATGGATGTGTTTGTAACAACCTTATTTTTTTCTCACATTACTTATTCCTGGTCCAAAAGGTCCAGGTAATAATATTGATGTTTATATGAAACCTCTTATTTAGGAATTGAAAGAGCTATGGGAAATTGGGGTAAAAACTTTTGATGCATGAAAAAAGGAGTCATTCCAAATGCGTTCTGTCGTCGTATGGACTATTAATGATTTCCCTGCTTATGCAAATTTGTCTACTTGGAGTACTAAAGGTAAATATGCTTGTCCATGTTGTGGCTTTGAAACTGCCTCTAAGTGGTTACGTCATAGTAAAAAATTTTGCTATATGTTTCATCATCGTTGGTTAGAGCCAGATCATAAGTGGAGGTACAATAAAGGAAATTTTGATGGAAGTCAAGAGTTTAGAGCCCCACCTAGGCCACTTGATGGAACTATTGTTTTAAGACAATTAGAAGAACTTGAAAACTCTTCTGAGAATGAAATTGGGGATGGGTCACCATGGAAGAAGAAAAACATCATGTTCAAATTGCCTTATTGGTAATATAATGTTCTTCGTCACAATCTTGATGTAATGCACATTGAAAAAAATGTTTGTGGTAATATTGTTGGAACGTTATTAAACTTAGAAGGGAAATCAAAAGAGAATGACAAGGCACGTTATGACCTTATCGACATGAACATAAGAAGTCAACTACATCCAAAATTGCATCCAACAAGGGGTAAATGTTATTTACCTAGAGCTTGTTACCAAATGACTTCAAAAGAGAAGGAAACATTTTTGGAAGTGCTTAAAGAAATAAAAGCTTCAGATGAATATACATCCAATATTTCAAGATGTGTGCAAGTGAAGCAACACAAAATAATTGGTCTCAAAAGTCATGATTGTCATCTTTTAATGCAAGAGTTTCTCCCTATAGCTATAAAAGGTCGTTTACCTGACAAAGTGGGTTTAGTTATATCCGATTTTTGTCATTTTTTCAAAGAAATATGTGGCAAGGTGCTTAGTGTGCATAAGTTAGAGTGTTTAGAGCATCAAATAGCTAAGACATTGTGCCAATTAGAAAAGATATTTCCTCCATCTTTTTTCACGGTAATGGTACATCTTGTTATCCATTTGGCATATGAAGCAAAAGTTGGAGGCCCGGTACATTACCGATGGATGTATCCAATTGAGAGGTATTAAATTTATTTTACACTCATTTGATAGTAATTTAAAATTATACAATTAAATGGTATTTCTTATTCTATAACTTTAACTTATACTTTTAGGTTTCTCCTTACTCTAAAGTCTTTTGTTCGTAATCGAGCACATCTAGAGGGATCAATTGCAGAGGGATATTTAGCTCATGAATGCCTATTATTTTGTTCACAGTATCTCTCTGGAGTAGAAACTGCTTTTAATCGGCCTAGGAGAAATGGTGATGGCATTGATTCATTTTTTATGGAGAATACAAGTCTTGTTCATAAAGGTAGACCACTTGGGAGAAAAAGTAAAGTTGGATTCAATATAAAGAAAAGAAAATGAGTTTCTAGGGTGTCACTTGATGAGACAACATTGCTACAAACACATATATGTTCTTTTTAATAGCGAAAGTATGGATCCTTTTAAAAAGTAAGAAATTTTCTTTTCCATTCATATTTGATTATTTAAATTTTCTTTGGTGCCTTACTATATTAATATTTAATATTTTTTTACTTTTTCTTTTCATAGAGAACACCTTGACCTTATTAGGAGACAAAATCGTCGATCGTCACCATATGAAATTGACAAAATTCATAGTTGTTCATTTCCTAATTGGTTTCATGAACGAGTAAGTGTTAGGGACAATTAAATTCCATTGTTAAATTTTGTAATCAAATAAAAGTTTGCAATCTTTTAAAATAAATTTTTGTGACTTATAGGTTGCATGTTTGGAGGAGCAATCTAGTACACTAGTAACAGAGGATATCAAGTTGTTGTCACGAGGTTCACTTCAAATGGCTAGAAGATATAGTGGTTATATTGTTAATGGAGTTAGGTTCCGTACAAAAAAGCGTGAAAGATGCTTAAAGTCCCAAAATAGTGGCATTTTTGTCACTGTTAAGACAAGAAGTTATGCTAGTTCAAGAGATAAACACCCTAAAGAAGGGGAAATAAATTACTATGGTGCTTTAATTGATATAATTCAATTGGATTATTTGGGTAGATATAAGGTAATTCTTTTCAAATGTGATTGGGTTGACATAAATAGAGGGCGTAAAACTGATAATTTTGGCATGACATTAGTTAATTTAAAATGTCTACAACATACAGGGGATGATATATGTGATGATACATTTATTTTTGTATCACAAGCCAAAAAAGTATTTTATGTGGAAAATGAAAGACAAAGTGAGTGGCTTGTTGTTGTGCATGCCAAAGCTAGAGATAATATGACTTAGGTGATGAGTGGTCTAATGAAATAGAACAAAGAAAAGAATACGACTTACAAGAGATAAATGATAATGATTTAATTAGGGCAGAAGTTGATGATAATGATGATGATATCATGGAATTCATAATAAACATAGAAGATGCTCTCCAAAATGCCAATGTTGAAGAGGAAATAGAGGGTTGGGATGAAGATTTCTTCTAATATATAAGGTATGTAATTTTTTTTTGTTATACTTTTACTTTATATGTGTATTTGTGTTGTTGTTATTTTTATCATTATTATTATTAATGTGTTTTTAAATTTATATATATATATATATACTAACATGGCTTTGGATTATATGTAGATATCATGGGGAGACGCAAAAAATTGCATACTATTCATAAAAATGAATCTCAAGTAAAAAAGCTACCAATTGATAACTCTACTGGAATTACTATGAAATATCAAGAACACAATCCTTCTATTCCAGAAAATAATATACAATTTGGAAGAGGTATACAATTCTTATTAACTTAATTTCTTATATTTTATATTAAAATTTAATACTTTGGTAATTGTAATAGATGCTTCAAGTGATCCTATGACATCAAATCTTCATCTCCAGACTCAAGAGATGAGTCATGTTGAATCTCAAACCATTCTTGGTATAAAAGAAACTATAAGAGGAGGTAATTAAGTTTTATTATACTTATTTTATCTTTAATTTTTCTTTCTTTTGTCTTTGTATTCCTAATATTTAGTGCAAAAGAGCACAGTTATATCCTTGAGGCAAGTTTATCCCTTATATTTTATATTCTCAATTTTAATTTATTATATATTATAAAGTTTTTTTCCAATTCATTATAATAGGGTTTATAAGAGATCATATGGTGTCAAATGATAATCACCAGCCTAGCCAATCACACTTAGAGCAACAAACCGAAGACTTTAGTCATGAAAGATTTTAGTCATGTTGAATCTGAAACTTCTCTTGACAATACAAGGACAACTTTTAATGGGGGTAACTAGCAACAAATTGCCCCATCTAAATCATATAAAGCTAGAGAAAATAAAGTTAATTTATAGCTAACTAATTTATCTTTGTTTGCTTTTAATTGTATTGTAAGTCTCATATATGATATATATATATATATATATATATTGATACTTGTGTGATTTAGGTGGAAAAGAAGACTAGAGGTTATACACATATGCTGGATGTGTGGGATATGTCAGATGATGAATTCATAGTTTTTGAGGTAGATGCTTTGGGAAATCCTATTGGGTCAGAAGGAAAAACTCTTTTAAGTGCAATTGGTAGCTTGGTAAGGAGGCACCAATGTGCTCCTATCAATTATCTTAGTTGGAAAGACATGCTTGAATCCAATATAACTGACATGCCTGAACTAATACAGGTATTATATAGAATTTCATAAGTTCTAATTAATTTCATCTTTTGTAATGGTTGACTTGTGAATTGGTTTTTATTATTGACTTTTATGATAGAGTAAGTTCCAATTTGTTCCTGAACTATCTGAGCAAACCAAGAGAATACTAAAGGATAACATGAGTAATAAGTGGAGGCAATTCAAGCATGATTTGAAATCAAAGGCATATGATGCAAGTAAGACTGAGGAAGAAATGGTTGCCAACATCCTAGACAAAAGGGTTGATCCTTCTCAGTATCGTGATTTAGTACATCATTGGTGTTCTAAGAAAGGACAAGTGAGTATATATATAATATGATTAACATATTGTCTAATATAGAATTTATTTAGCAATGTTTTTCTATTTGTTTTTTCTTTAACATGGTTATAGGACATAAGTAACATGAATAAAAGAAGTTGCTCAAAATATGAGGATCTACATTATATGGGTACCAAAAACATCCCAAGGTTAATTCATGAGGTAATTTTTTTTTCTTTCAATAATATTTTTTTATTATGTTACTTATACTTATATGATTATTGATATTTCATTACTTAAATTAGAAAAAAAAGGAAAATGGAGTGCAACCCTTTTTCTTCTTTCAATAATATTTTTTTATTATGTTACTTATACTTATATGATTATTGATATTTCATTACTTACATTAGAAAAAAAAGGAAAATGGAGTGCAACCCTCACGAGCTGAAATTTATATTCATACTCGGACTCGAAAAGATGGGAGCATTGTGAATGAAAAAGCAGTCCATGTGATTGTAAGAATTGATATTTAGATTTATCCTTATGTGCTAGTCTAGAGAAAGATTGAAATCTGTTTCTGTATAAACTTAAGATAATGGATGTTAAGCAGTAAAAAATTAAATATATATATATATATATATATTTAATTTATAGTTTTATTCACTTCATATCTGAACCTTTTCTTTAATTTTACTAAGTCATGCTTTGACATTTCTCCTTGAGAATGTAAAGGTTTGAATTTAATCAAATTGTCACACATTTAGATATGCAATGGCCAGAGTTGGAAATTTATATAAATGAATAGCAATATTAGTTTTCTACAACTTTTCACCTATAGACCAAACTACATTCATCTCAAAAGTCAAGATTGATAAGTATTTTATATTCCAGTTGGTCATCAGACTAGCTATGCAAGTGTCACAAGTTTGGATTCCCAGATGAAGAATGAAAATTTTCAATTATTTTTTCTCTGGTGAAAAGAAAACATTAATTTTTTTTAAATGATCTTATCAAACTAGCTAATTCTCATTTATTATCTTTTTTTTATGTTCTGTTACTTCCGTAGAAAAGGTTACAAAAGCATCTGGTGTCATACAAGATCGGCAGTTTGGGTTATTTTAATTAAAATGGGTTTTGATGTAGGATGAATTAAAGAAGCATATGGTGGAGGTAGAAAGCTTAGGAGGATCTCAAACTGCTCTTGATTATACAAATTGGAAAAATGACATCTATTCAAAAGTGAAAGGGCTTGAAAAAAGAGGACATGTACGTTGTCTTGGCAAACTTCCACTTGCTAAAAGTTCAAATACTGTAGCTCAAAGTTCTACTGCAGAACTTAGAATTCAAAAATTAGAGAAGGTACTTGGAAATCTTGTTTCTTTTCTTCAAGCACGATTTTCAAGAGTTCAAGAGATTAATGATATTATAGAAGTTGTAGATCAAGAGGTATTAACTCTTACAACTGACATATGTCAATTGTGATCATATTTAACAAAAATATTACTTTACATATATTTCTTTTTTATGTTTAGATACCCGATGTTGCAAGTAACAGAAACGATTATAATAATAGCATTTAGTGAACTACAAGTGGTGGGTGTTAGGTGATATCGATAATGGTAAAAAATTTGAGTTGAGAAACATAATCATATAATTATTTTTTGTAATTTTAAGTGCATTTTTATTATTTATGACTGCAGGTTTTTTATAAATACTAGGATTTATACATGCTTATGCGCATCAATAATGGGTAGGATATTACCCTGAGGTAAATAAAGATCCTTTACTATTCGTTGAGCTATCATTATAAATAATATGTTATGAGCATGGATTGACATTGTTCTCTTTTTGGGATATAAAAGATTGATATTAATGTTAGCTTCTAATCAATATATGTTTCAAGTTGAGAAAATAAAAAATTTAAGATAGCTTAAACCCATAATGCAAATATGGGCATTATTATTACTTATCTTGAGCAATGCAATTATTTTCATGCTAAATGGAGTTGTCACAAGCTATCTATTTTGAACTACAACTATAAAATTCTGTATTTTTTTTCATACTTTTCCTTCTCACACCCACCATTTTAGCAATGGAAACAGAACATTAACAAATTGATTTCTTTGCTTTTACCCATTCGTGTTTTAGAAAATGAACCAAAGAACAAAGGTAGTTAGTACACATTGCTTTCACATTTAAATACCTAAATCTGTTACTAGAGTGGATGTTAACTAGCAAACATATATGATGTTGTAAATTGGTCTATATTCTTTTATGCTAGTTAAAATTTTTCTTTCTCATTAACATCATTTATAATTGTTATGTATGGGGTGAACTTTAATGAGATCTTGTTTTCCAATTCTAGACTTTTTTATATATTTTTTATTTGTCATTAAATCATATTATAAATTCTTTTTGTCATATGCAGATTGTTAATATTTTCATTTTATATCAAAGGAACTCAAAGAAAGGCGTTAGAATTTCCAATTTCTTCTTATAGATGAACGATAGTATTTTTTTCTTTGTCATATGAAATATTCGTAATAGATTTTCATTTTTTTTGTCATGAATGGATGAAAGAGTGTAGTATTTCTTGATATCATGGTATTGTGGTATTAAATTGGTATGAATGGATGAAAGATTTTATTTCTTTTAAATTTTTATGTATGGATGACAATATTTTTTTACATGCTAATTAAATATATATTTAGAAGATATTTATTGAATTTGTGACATTACTAATGAAATTTAATTTTCTTATTATTATTATTTTATTTTTTATATAAAATTAAATAAATTAAAACTACTATCCTTAATATAGGTATAAGCTATAGTGACACACAATATATGCTGGAATATGTTAATAAATGTATTCCTAAAAAATGTAAGTATAAGATATAGAGACACACAATATATGTTGGCATATGTTAATAAATTTATTCCTAAAAATATGTGTATAAGTTATAGTGACACACAATACATGTTGGTATATGTTTGTAAATTTATCCCTACAATTGCTATAAAGTGTAGCTATAGGTTATAGTGACACACAATATATATTGTTAAATCTCATTCAAAATCAACACAAAAATTGTGTGTGGGTATATGTCAAATAGGTTTATACCTACATAATTTTTATCTATAGTGACACTTTTTATATGTCACTAAAAGTAACATTTCTTGTAGTGTGAGTTTTATAAATATTTTTGAGGCTTTAAATAATTATGAGTGTTTTTAATTAAATAACAAATATTTGTGAAATTATTTTGTATAATATTTATTGGAGAAATATGTGTTTTTATTATATTTTGTTATAAAAAGTACTTGAAGGAAAATATGTGTTGATTATAATTGTTTTATGTATTTTTTTTTATTTATAACTGTGTTGGAGTAAGTATATGTTTATTTTATATATTATTTATTAAGTTTTAAATATTTTAAGGGAAGGGAAGGATAACCATGACTATTAGACTAACCAAAGGTTAAATTAACGTGGGTTGGAAAGTTTTTGAAAGGGTTATGTCAGTTTTATATTTTACACTTCTCACTTTTGGGAAGTATAGAACATGAATAGGAGAACATATATAGGAACAATGTTAGTAGATATTCATCTTTCAACAATTGCTCATAAAGATAAGGGGAGTGAAGGTTAGGAAATTTTTAAAGGGGTTATGTCAATTTTATGTATTACGCTTCTCACTTTTGGGAGCTATAGAACACGGAGAGGAGATCACTAGAGGAATGAAAATAGATCGTCATCTTTCAACAAGTGCTCACAAAGATAAGGGGGAGCGAGGGTTTTCTCCTTTGGGAGTTAATTAATGTGTTATGTTGGAGAATTACAACCCCTTTTTGCCTACATATCTAATTCTTTGGGAAATTCATTGTTTTTATTTGTATAGCGAGAATTTGTACTTTGTATGGGATTTGTGAATGATGATTATATTAAATGTGAAACAAATTGTAATTATTTGGTTTATTTTTGAATTTATGAGTGCCATATGAACCCTTGAATTATAAAGGAGAGTAAAGATTGATAAAATTGATGATGAATTATGAAATTGATGTATGTGTTTGTTTAATTGATGGTATATGAGTATATTTTGAGTGTTAATTGTGCTTACAATCGATTAAATTAGGAGAATTAAGTTGGGTGTGAGTTGTATTACTTTAACACTTCGCCACAATGAATTTTTCTTTGATGCAAGAAATGGCACGCCCATGAAAGCATATTAAATTACCGAATTAGCTTTTGATGTGCGAATAAGAGTTGTAGCCTTAGATGTTAGCTTTCCAATGGGATTAGAATTGCCTAAAAAGGGTGTCTAGAACTTAAGTTGTGATCAAATTAGTGAGTGGAGCTCAAGTTGTCAATTTTAGACCAATTTCGATTTTGTAAATTTTAAAAATAGTAGATGGTAGAATCAACATGTGAGGTCAAGATAAGAGTTTTAGATAATCGTATAAGCTTTCTAAGAAAATTGAGATCAAATTGATATCATGAGTAAAACTCCATATATCGTGTTTATACCCCACAATGTCGTAGGAACTTGAGATAAGAAAGGACAATTTGGGAGTTGTAATGGTGAGTTTCTTTACCCTTGAAGCATTTAATCATCTTTTGAAAAACTTATATCAATATTTAATAAAAAGAAAGAATGGAAGGGTATATTTGTGAATGATTTATTATGAAGATACAAAACTATGTTTGTGAGACCTTGTGCATGAGGTTGTGTTTATATGCAATGTGAGATGTTCATATTGTTGGTCCTTATTTACTAGAATCTAAAAGGGGGGTTCGTCGAAACTCGAAAGATTTCGAACTTGCCCAAAATGGTTTAGACTTCAATTTTAAAAATTTTATTAATTAAGGAATGTCCGGACACCAGACTAATCCCTAACTAATGGTTTTTGAAAAACGTTCATGGAGTCTCCACCGATGTTTTGCTCAAAACATCGAAAAAAATAAGAAAAGAGTTTTAAAATAACAAAACGGCCTTTACAGCCAGAATTTGGTTCATGGTTCGATTACGTGTAAGGAAGGTGTTAGGCACCCTATGACGCCCTGAATCGAAACCCTACAATGAAACTAGTGCGTTTGCAAACAATAATTTAAATATTGTTGAGATTTATGGGGTAGTGAATCAACTCAGCCCTGGAGTCTGAGAGTTTTCATGATAACAAAGGATGGATTCTAAGAGTTTTGATGATAACAAAGGAGTTGAAGCTAACCAAGGACACAAACCAGTCAAGAAAGGAAGATATGAATATCATGATGTGTAATAGGAATAGCTGATGAGTTCTTATGTGTTGTATTGCTTTGATTAGTTTATTTTGCATGTGTATGCTTTGTGCATGATTTAATATTAATCTAAATTAACTTAGAGTGAGTGTCATGATGATTTAAAATACTTAGAAAGATTTTTGAAGTATAAAATTGAGTTTTTGAAAGCTAACTCAAAATAATCGATTATCATTAAGTATAATCGATTATTCTAGGAAGTACTCTCTGGAATAATCGATTATCCTGCAAAATAATCGATTATGCTGCTCTTGAGTGGTCTCTAGAAATCATGAAGAGAAAAATAATCAATTATCTGGATCTGAAAACTTTATATATAGCTTTCACACTTTGAAACTTTAAGAAGTGAGATGAACTGAAATCAAAAGAGAGAAAAACTGATATTGTGAAGTCTTTGTGACCTTCTTGGAGTGTTTTCTTTGTGAAACCAAGAAGAGAAACATTTTGTGAAATGCTTTGAAAGAGATCATTATCCTTACAACATTCTTAGGAGAGAAAGATTAAGATTTGGTTGGAATTCACATTTTGATTTGTTCAGCTTCTAGGTGAATTCTTTCCTTTAATTCTTTGTGTAATGTGTAAGGAAAATCTTGAGTAGGTGTCTCAAGTGGTAAGGAATTCTTGTAGTGGGTTTCTACAAGAAGTGCTTTCTTGGGGGCAAGAAAGTGGTTATCTTGAATGTAGGAGTGTATGCATGTGTGGTATGCTTGTAAAACTTCTTCATTGAGATAGTGGAACAAATCTTGATCAGGTTATGATTGAGGACTGGATGTAGATCACATTTGGAGTGGCTGAACTAGGATAAAATACTTGTGCATTCTTCTCTCACCCTTATCTCTTACATTGAGTAAAATCTTAATTGAGTGATAAAATGGCTGATCTTGATTAATATGTTTGTATGCTTAACATTGCTTTAAACTGAATCAAAGTATTGCATATTAGTTGTTCTTAAAACTGAACTCAATCAAGATTAATCAAGAAATCATATAGGACTCATTCCCATCGGCAAGTCTTTCAAGAAACTTCTTTGAGAATTCATATTAGAAAAGTTTAAGTTGAAATAAATATCCTTAAAACTCTGATAAATTTTTTAAGTGTCATAGAATCCAATTCAGCCCCCCCTTTTAGATTGAGCCATTCTTTTCTAACAATTAGTATCTAGAGCAAGGTTCTTGACTGTTAATCAAGATTTAAAAAATGGCCAACAGTAACCTACCTTATGGTGAGGGTGTTTCTACTTATAGACCTCCTGTTTTCAATGGTGAAAACTATGTCTATTGGAAAATTAGGATGAGAATTTTCATTGAAGCAATTGATAATGCTGTAAAATGAACCCTATATCCCTATGACCAAAGATGGTGATGGAAAAAGAGAAAAACATTGGAGTGAGTGGAG